ACCCCTCCCCCACACCCCTCCCTACCCCCCTCCCCACCCCCAAAATGACATTTTAAAAGGCTTTAATTTCCAGTGAAGCCAGAAAAACCAAAAATCTGGCCTTCAACATCCCAGTCAGCCCTTTCACAAAAATCCTGGATTTCCACTGTGCGATAACCCTTTGAAAGACCTGTTTGGAAAAGCTTATATACACTTTGGATCTAACATGCACAAACACACACATGTTTGTTTTATGGACATTCCTTTGTTTTTGTGTAGTTAAGACAACTCAGTACCGGAAAACTCTTTCAACCCCAAAGTTGTTTTTTGATTTCCTGGAATGTTTCTCTTAACTCTAACCGGAAAATGTCTCTAAACCTGTTTTCCGGAGAGGGCGAATCGTTATGTGGACAGGGCTTAGTCCACATAACGTCAACACAACCTGCATTATGTGGACATCTTTTGTTCACATGTCCACATAGTGACTGTAAGACAAACAGGGTGACCATAAGGTCATGACTAAATTCTGCTAAATGCACTTCAAAAATCTGTCAGATTTACATGTATCAAAAACCTGCCAAATTCCCCCGAATTACTCGAAACACACTATAGACACTTTAAATCACATGCAGATGTTGTAAAATTGCCTTAATTAATGTTCAAATTACATCATAAACAATCTATAGCCACACAAGGATAATATGAAATTGCGTAAATTTCAGGCAAAATGCGGTTGCGTCACAACGAAATCCGGTTCCCAGTGGAACCTCAACACCTACATGTAGACCGGGCAACCTGTCCTATTTTGCAAGGGTTTGTTTGAAAAGATTGAAGCTTTTGTAAACAAATGTACCATTTTTTGTGTGCAAATTTGCCGTTTTTCTGTCAAATAACCATTTTTGCAGAATTCTGCCAGAAATCTGCCAAAAATATCCATTCTGTCAAATTTTCTGTCAAACTCGTTTTTTTAATTAAAAATCTGTCAAAGTTAGCCTAAAATGGGCTAAAACGGTCACTATGAAGACAAACTCATACTATACCGGTACATCCCTGTAGACATTATGTAGTATGAACACCTTATTGTACACTCATAGGCCACATATGCGCGGAGCATTTACAGGGTTCATGATGTATGTGCCTGAACTCCAGACCAGAAGTGTACATGTAAGTTGAGAACTCTGCGGTCTGCACACTCATACTTACTGATAAACAGCCTCAATACCGCCCCTCAACTACTCATAATCACCCTCCAGCAACTTGACATCATCCCTCATAAACACAAGCACTTTGTCAAGCAGTCCGTTGCTTGAAAAAAATGTTTTTGTCCAGTTTCAGTGGTAAACCAGAGGAATTGAGTGAAATTTTCAGTCTCGAGGGAGAATGGGCCAAATGAAATAAAACCCTTCAGTATTGATCAACAACTTCCTGTCAGTGATTTCCAACAAACCATTAGTTTGAGCGCGTGCACAATGAGTGTTTTGTTGTGTCGACCTCATTTGATGTACTATGAGTAATGAATTAACAATTAAGGAATTTGTTGTGGTTTTTGAATTCATCTGTTTCATTGAAAGTTCAAAAAAAAAAAAAGTTAATTTTGTCTACAGGTCCATTGTATACATGAACATGTGTAAATGCAGTGGAATGGCACTAACTACAGAGTACGGTAATGTGGGAAAGTTCATGTATGCGTGAAAGTTCTATAGGGGCAGTCATCTGTAAAAATAATGAGGCCGATAAACGAAGCACGGAGGAATAAATCATTCTTATTCCTGGACGCATGGAGTAAGAATATCTCCTTTAGCAGTGGTAATGGAAAAAGCATCTAACTTACTGACAATGTAGGGTTATATTTACATTTAGGAAATAAGGTTTTTATGCAAAATACAAGGATTGTACCTTCACGAGAACATTTTTGTATTCACTTGTACTTCGAAGTTTTGATTTCTTTCTATCGAAACTTTTTACAACATTTGTTGGTAATTAAAAAAATCTTCAATGCATTAGGCCTATTCAGCGACAGCATTGGCTGAGCAGAAAACAGGTGTGAACAATTTTTTGTAAATGTATTGGACAGGACTATATCCTCAATTAAAGATTACAATAAAATTAAAATTAAAAACATTAGATAAGTGTAAGTTGAGGAGAAATTTGTAATTTGTAGCACATGGTATACATGTACGTACAATGTACAATGTCTACGCCTGTGCATTTTTGCATGTCACATACATGTACAATGTAGATGCATGTACATGTACATGTACGTGTATATTTCTACTATGCAGTCACAAATACTTGTGAACTCGCGGATCAATGTGCACAGATCAATGGGACTCCGATCAATCCCACGGAACATGGCAAGCAGACCTTAGTGGGGGACTGTGCAGCTAAATCAGGGTCTGTGTATTGACTGGCTTAATATGCCTCCCAAACAAGCTGAAGGTCTGCAGGATACATGCATCTGAAATCCAACTCCATTAGAGGATTTTGGGGGATTTTTTAAAGGATTATAGAAAGGAAGGACCAAGTCACTATATGCATGGGCTCCGTGCACAAGTACCCCCTCAACGGTATTAGAATGGAGAGTTGGGGGACCACAGGGAGAGACTTTCAAATGCCTGATGTTCACGCGCGACGCATCGGGTTGTGCACAATCAGAATCATGTGTACACTTCGCACTGTACGCATGTGAACCAGTACGCGCACACAGTGTGTTCCGTCCACTGGGCTCATGAGAGTGGTAAAACAGCGCCCTCTGTTGTTTGCGCACGGACATGTAGTTTCAGTACATGTACATGAAATGAGCCACTGTACAGTTCTGCATAGCAGTGGATTTTGAAGAATACAGGAAAGTTTCTTGCTGATTAGCGTGAGGTGGTTCACTTTCCTTGTAGTACAGTACCTTTCACTGGGCTGAAGATACTTGACCATATCATGAAAAAGTATTCATGGCTGTGGTACATGTATTTAATTCTTACTTTGATGGAGAGACATGTATAGTTATACATGTACTGTCATGGTATATTATACAAATATTGACTGCTTCGAGTAGTGTAGTAAAACTAGCCTCCCGAGGTGATCAATGAAGCATTCTATTTTTATATAATGCTCCATGGATCATCGAGGGAGACTAGTTTTACTACACCACGAGATAAAGCAGTCAATATTTGTTTTATAACACCCCTCCCACATATTCTGCTTGAGTTTAAGTGATAGCTGATTAATTTAGAGTGATTTTTCCAACTTGCACTCGGGAGGTAACACACTGAGTATACAGTGTTTAAAAACGTCGGTGAAGGGCAAAACCTAATTTGATTTATATCACCCCGACGCAAAAATTCCATCTTATGATTAATTTAACTTTTAATAATAAATACGATTAAAGTGTATTTGAATACAAAATTAGTTGAAAATTTATTTACACTTCTCCAAACTACCTCTTCACAAAATGTTTGAACCCAGCTCTGTAGCCCTAGCGCTTGGGAACAATACAACTGGCAACTGGCACACCCCTGCTGTATACATTTGCACACAGTACCAGTTTTTATGCGTAGTGGTTGCGGCGGGTGTAGTACTTTTGGCCACAGCAAGATTGCAAAAATAGCGAATGTCAAGTGACTCGCTCTCGGCCGATACAGAATCTGTGGGTGAGGTGTTATAATCTGTACTGTACTATTGTTATAACTCAAAATACAGACACAGAATATATGTACACATCGTGTACATCATGTACATGTAGTGGTACAAAATTTGCCCAGTAGTGTTATATTAACCTTGAGTTCAAGAAGCCACATTCCTGTTTTTATACACCCGACCTTCCGTTTTAGAACACCATTGTTGATCATCACAATACCTGCTTTGGAAACAAAGAGTGACACATCATGAAACAACCCCAAACCAAATAATAAACAGAAATTAATACTACCCTCAAATAACAATTAAAGTATACACATGTTTTGTATGAACTTGATGTTTGTGCATAACATATCCTGCGAGTGCATATATTGCATTGGTGGCCATTCTTACTTTGGTATCTATCGTACCGTAAACCACAGTCAATTTTCACGTTACATTTTTGTAGTACTTAGTAAGCGAGTAGGTGGCTCCCACTATAACTGGTGGTCGTGTAGGCAGAAATCTGATAACAGCACCCACTGTGCAAATATTTTAACCGGTAACCGAATTCCATGTCAAAATATTGGGTCACATCCGTTCATCACATTCTGATACTGTCCGGCCCCGATATTGTTGACTTTGTGTAGGCGGGATTTTGAGAGGGGTAGTCCATAACCAAATTGGTGTTGTCTTCAGGGCCGCCTTTAAAAGCAATGAGATTTTTGAGTTGCATAAAATGCAGCAATAATTTCCTTGCAACTTTTTATGACACCTTTTATGACACCAATTTTCCCCATATATTTTCCCCATCTACATTTTAACAATGTACATGTAGATGGTTTAAAAAAAAGAAAGAAAAGTGTCCTTGGGACTAAAAATAAATTTTCTTGCAATATTTGTCTCCTTGTCTCCTTGTATTTGTATAGTTGCCGGAATAGATAAGACTTAAAATTGCAGGTACATGAATGTGTACGTATCGGAAACTTCTTTTACATTGGCAGATTTTTCAACATGGAAAGGGATACGGAGTTAACAGATAAAAAAATGGTTCTTCATAATAAGCTTCAGCTAATTTACAACTTACAGTGTTTATTGTGATTTTAACTTCAAACAAGCCTATACTATATTTATTGAAAAAAAAACTTTTAAATTGTACCAGCCCATTCCAATTTTGTACTATTTTTTCCCTTCAAATTGGGTGGAGCAAAGAAACTGACTGGAACAGAATATGAACCTGAGACCTTTAAAGCTGTGCACCAGAGTTCTACCAACAGAGTGGCCTCCCAAAATGTCAGGGTTTTTACTCAAGGGGCAGAGTCACAAACCTTCAATATTTCTGTTATTAAGACAGTTTCGTTGAAAAAGTTTTCCCAGAAGTTCTTCTTACTTGTCGGTCTTTTTTTCCTCAGGTTACTGGTGGGTGCTCCTAAAGCTCAGACCCCACAGCCTGATGTCGTCCAAGGGGGTGCTGTATACAAATGCCCCGTTGCACCCCTCAACAGCCCAGGAGACTGCGAACAGATACCCTTTGATTTAACAGGTAAGACCACTGTAAATATCTCTCCTTAAAGCCCCACCCCTGTAATCCAACCCCCTCCCCTCCAAAAACAAACACACCAAGCGCCATTTTTCCCTCCCCCTAAAAAAGTATCCCAAAGAGATGTATATCTTTCAAACTTTTGTACAATTCAGCCAAAACCGAAACAAGTTGACTTGAAAAACTGAGTAGGAAAAAAAAAAGTAGGAATTCTCCCCTTTTTTTTTTTTTTTTTTTGGTCCCATGCCATTTCCCTTTCATCAAGAATTGTTTATTTTTGATACAGGCAGCTGAAAAAATACATATATATATTTATTTTAAAAAATGAGAGAAAACTGTGTATTTTAAAGAAGCGTATGTAAATATTAAATTCCTTTTTTTTTTTCAATGGAATTTAATTTTTGTTGGATTCGTTCCACTCTACATGTACATCTGGTTACACTGAAACCTTGCCACATATTTTCTTTTTATGGCAACTCAATGGAATTGAATTCCTATTTATAAATCTGAATTCCAGACAAGCAAATTGTGTGACCTTTGTTGACCTTGAGCTATATATTTCTTTTCTTCATTTGTCTTTTCCTCTTTTTCTTCGCCCTGACTCCACAATTGTCAAGTCCTTGTGTACACAAGCAGTTTTTTTATGGAAGAAAGCCATTCAATTCTTCGAACTAAATGGGTCATACAAAAAAAACAACACGCTCTTGGCGAGGTTGGTTCCCTGAAAAAACATTGGCGTTGGCTGTCTTTGCTAAAAACAGAATTATGAACTGTGATGAAATTGACTAACCGGTCCATGCGTGGGTGGGATTGTGCTTGGTTGCGGATGGAAATCTGTAGTCGTGGCTTTAAGTTTCTGCCATTTAAAAACAAACAAAAAATATTTTAGGATTTATTGTCTAGTTACAAATGAGAAAATTTCCCTCATAAAAATCCTGGGGGAATTTGGTGGTTTTGACAATGCAGGACGTCGGGGAAAATCCCATCCCACATTTGATCAGTCTTATAAATATTGTTATACCGGTAGCTATGCTGTAATGATGTGTACAAATAGACTATTAGGTAAATAACTTTTTAATATTAGAGTGAGGTTTTGTCCTTTTATGACATAATTTTATGCGTACTTGGCAGTGTCTGAATGTTGTTCTCACAAGGTTTTGGACAGAACAATTTGCTCATAAAATTACTTCAAAATTTACATTCATTTTTACTTCTTCTCACACTACCATTTTACACCGCGGTTCTATGTGAACGTGGACAGATATATGTGAACACCTTGTAAAACTATTATAAATAAACAATTGGACCGTCATTTTTCCCCAGTGGACAGCCCAAGTTATAAGCACACTTAAACACGAACGTCAAGTTGAAGGGTGTCTGTTTGTTTGTAGGTCACACGGTCGATGCGAGGGGAGATCAAGTCGCTGACAAATCACACCAGTGGTTTGGCGCGTCGCTGAAAAGCGCCGGTCCAGATGGCCGTGTGGTGGTGAGTATTCTTTTAGTATAATCCTACTCGAGTCTGTGAAAGACCTGGGGCAAATTTCACGGCGCTGCTAAGCACAAAAATTTGCTTAGCACCAAAAAAGTCTGGCTTATAAAAGCAGGTTACCAGCCAAAACTCCATGTGATGTATATTGCTCGTGATTAGTATTAAGCTGTAGTTTGCTTAGCATGAAAATCACTTGGAGTCTTGGCTGGTAACCTGCTTTTATAAGCCAAACTTTTTTTGTGCTTTAGAAGCAAATTTGTGTGCTTAGCAGCGCCGTGAAATTGGGCCCAGTTGTCTTGAGGCTTGTACTCCCGCAGTTTATAAACCCCCTGGGCCGAGAGCCGTCACTGAGAATATGTTTTGTTATTCAAATTCAATGACAACGAAGGTTCAAAGTGTGTACTCGTACGTATCACAGAGGAACACAGACGTCCTCAGTGAGTGCGCTTTTTATAAGCTGGGGTCTATGGGCTCTGCGCACAAGTACCCCCTCAACGGTAAGAATGGGAGAGTTGGGGGAGACCACTAGGAGAGACATTTGAACGCATTGCTGACGACGCCTGACGCTGACGCGAAGACGCTATATGGCTTTGTGCACATTCAGAATAAAATTGGTCCTGCTGAGTTTGCGCTACACGAGTGCGAACTAGTACGTGCTTGTGGTGTGCTTCGTCCATTGGGCTCTTGAAATTGGTACAAAAGCGCCCTCTCTTGTTAGCGCACAGAGGCCATAGAATAGTTTATAATTCTCCCTTTTTTTCTCCTTTCTTTGCCATCAACTGGGATTATTAACCAATTTTGATTCCATTTTGAACCCCCCCCCCCCCCGACCTCATCTTTCTCCCCCCGACCATCCCCTTCGATATCAACAACCTATACATCAGGCCTGCGCTCCCCGGTACACGTGGTTCTTCACAGCAGAAATGAAGGACGAACAGAGGGAACCAGTGGGTCACTGCTACGTCAGCGAAAACAACTTTTCAGAGTTTGACGAGTACGCGCCCTGCAGGACAACCGATAGTAAGTATAACCTTCATGTTTACCGATATTGGTTTTCCTTTGTATCAATTTAATTGTTGTTTCGGAAAGTCCAGCACAGTTTCCTTTGGTTTTACGCTCCCTGAATATTAAAAAGATCTATTTTTTAAAACTTTGAAGAAAAAAATGCAAAACATCGACTTCAGCGAATTGAAATGTGAACAAGTACCTGACACGCCGCTAAAACGAACATTTGGCTATGACGAACATCCCCTTTTGCTCCCGAAATATTAAAATCTATTTTAATGCACAATCACTATAATGGACGACCACTCTCTAAGGAACAATTGTTTACAGACCATCATGTTCGTTATAGTGACATTCTACTGTGTATGCAAAAGATGCCTTTTGTTTTCATGTAAGCGGCATCTACATGTAGCATTGTTTGATATTTTTATGTTCTTCCTGTTTTTGCCATGTTTTAAATTTAAAACATAGCAAAATCGCTTTAAATCGCTGATCAAACTGGCTTTAAAAATCCATGAAGTTCTCACCATTGTCATACTGAACTTTCTGATGTGGCTCAGCTGAACGAAAAGTTCTTTTTACCTGGTAAATGTTGTTGTCCCAGTGGTCCTGAGCCTTACTTGTAATTTGTTTACATTTCCGTGAACTCACTGCGGGAATTCCCTTTGGAAATCCTCCATTATGCCTCCAACGAAAGCTGGAAGGTGTTAGCAAGTTGTGAAACACAGGAGAATGCGGTGTGATTCGTGTTAAGTCCAAAGGCTGAAGATTTCACAAGTTTTTCTAAGCAGAAAAGGGCCCTGTTAGGCATGTTAACTGTCGTATAGTCTCATGATACCGTGTATGTAGATTTTGTTACAGGGAAGTTTAAACCCGGCCGGAAATTCACAGTTTGCAGTAATAAAAACAAGAAAATTGATACTAGAGGGTGTTCTTCTTGCCTCTTTTTCCCTGTTTAGTTGTAAATGTCACAGATCTGTCCATTGGTGAGTAGCATTGATGTAAGATCTGTTTTTAGCTGTTCCCAATTTCAATTGGGAACAGCTCTTGTTTTCGTTTAAAAAATCCTTTTTTTTTTTCTTTTTTCTTTTTTTTAAGCTGTTCCCAATTTCAATTGGGAACAGCTGTTGTTTTCGTTATAAAAGTTTTTTTTTCCCTTTTTTTTTGGACCTGCCAACTCTGCTGGTTCGCGTGAAAAATGTCCTCCAGCCCTAAATGACAACCCAATGATAAAATTTAGGGCTGGGTAACTCCAGCTACATATGTTTAGAAAACTTTAATCTTTTCAAACAAACACTAGCATAATGGAACAGATAGTGCTTAGCTCTTAGAACTGGGACTTAATTCATCGCGACACAACCACGTTTTATGCAATTTCATGACATATTTATGTGACTATAAATTGTTTATAGACAGGGAAGTGTTATAAATGAAAATGTGTATGTCAAGGTCATGTGACCATTACTTCCAGGTTTTTACCAGAAGTGCAATTATGTAAGATAATAATTTCAATTTTAAAAGTAAGAGATTTTTGAAAAAATATTTACATTATTTTCTACTATCCAAAAGACAATAAAAACAAATTGGGAACAGCTCTGTGGTTGTTCAGTTACAACCACATCTAGTTTGTCTTGAAGTACTGAACAGAAAGAGAAACCTATAACATTTGACTTCTCTTATTTAAATACAAAGCAACTGAGAAAGAAACTGGACACAAGGATTAAAAATATAAACAAAAATGGCCTCATGCAATGACTTGTTAGATACATCAGTTGCAAAGTGACAAAAAACTTGAGCATGTACACAAAAAATCGGAAAAACAAATGACAATATACCGAGCTCATCCCTACAACTGTACAAATAATCTACACGTACTATCGTAATCATGTGCTGAAACCTTAAACCTGAAAGTTTCTTTCCGACACGGTCGTGATTAACGAGCTAATTTACCGTCAGGATTCTTACATCTCAAGTTTTGTTTTTTTCCCCCGTCTTTCTGTCCCTTGCGGTTATTTACTTGTTCCTCTCACCACCCGTCTCCAAGCATATTTCATCTGCGATTCTTACAATAAACGCAGCGCGCGCGGCACACTGGGAAGATTGACTGCGAGCGCTTTTGTTTATGTTTATGACCATCACGGGCATCCCGCCTGATTATCGAAACGTCCCGCGTATAAGCCGGTAATTACTTGATGAAACTGACATTGCCCGGTATCTGACAGTGATGCCCGCGGGGGGTCGAGACCTGGCTTAATTGATTTTTTCAATTTACGGTGCAGCTAGCGAGACGAACTATGTACATGTGTACATGTCGGAACAATACTATAAACCAACCTGCCCGTGTACGTGATCATGCTTGCCACAACGGGCAAGCTAGATAGAAATCAGTCCAAAATTTATTTGTCAAATTGTAACTTGGTTCCTGTGCGGCCTAGATCCTGGAGCTTACCCCCAAAATATATCCCCAATTTATTGATTTATTAAGTGCAGTATTAAAGTGGGTTTTAGATTGAGATAAAAATGCATTTTATTTGACGTACATGTAGTTGTGAGCTGACAAGAGAAGAGGCTAAACCGTGCGGTGCTTTCTACAGTAACAGACTAAAGCACGACTTTCCCTCCATGAAATACGACTCTGAGGAACAGTGTGGCGCCTTGGAGACCAGCATTTCTTTCAACAGTTTTTCTTCCGGATCTGAGACTCTTCAGAAAAAGGAGAAAAAAAAGATGGTTTTGCAATTTAAGACTTTTAAATCACCAGACGACGTTTTAGATCAACGCTGCACCCGTTTTTCATCACTCGGTGTCACGTAGCATCGGCGCAGCGCAGCGTGGCCGGATTAAAATTCTAATTAATTTTCTGTATGAGTCACCCTTCAAAGTTCTCCAGATTGTAGAACAGAAGATTGCTTTGTTCTTACCAAGTTTGGGGGGGGGGAGGGGTGGAAGGGGATCCACGAAGGCGAAAAAGTGGGATGGCGTTTGCTTAAAACCCTTTTCTTGACCCGTAGAAATTCCACAAAGAAATTCCAATTGACCCACAAATTTATTGAACACTCTATTTCAGCACGGTACTGCGTACAGAAGTATAATAATCTGAACAGGCCAAGGAAATTATGTCAGGGAAACCATACATTCTCGCATTTCTGAAATGCGAGCGGTTTGCCAGCTGCAGTGCCTCATATGGACTGATTATCCCTCTTGTCATGCCGATCCGTCTAATGGCTTTTTCAGGCCCAGACATTCATCAGCCTGCAACGCCTCACACAATCCGTCGATGCGTGTCGCAAATTTATGATGTTTATATTTTCATCCCGGAGATATGGACTTTTTTTTCCTAAATTTACATTTAGTTTTACACATCATAAAAAGCTTGTTGTAGAGAAGCAATGTAGTCACGAGGCAGTCTCATCAGGTTTTTTTGTAATCCTTTTTCATTTTTGCTGTTTTTATTTTTGTGCGGGGGGCGGGGGGGGGGGGGGAATGGATTATATTATATTCACATTGAAATTGCAGATACATGTACATGTAGCTTTTTCCATGGTTGTGTGAAATGTAAGCGTTCAATACAGAAGCTATTGAAAATGTATAACTCCGTTACTACAAGCATAATATCAACATCAGTATATGTGAAAATAATTTATTCATAAAATGCATTAATTACTAGACTCTGAATTCTTTTGCCAGAGCAAAAAATGCACAAATTCAAAAATGTTAAGTCAGAAATCTGACTGAACAACGAAACAAAAAGGGACATTTGAATTCAAAAAAAATTTTTTTTTGCAAGAGATGGTCCCTAGCAACCAAAATGGCTGCCTCCAGCTGAAGAAAAAACCCACATCAGTTAGATAGCTTAACGTCATCTGTCTTCAATGTCTTCACTTGTCACCGAAGCATGCTCTATGCGTCACCAAAGGATAATTGCGAAAACACAACGAGGCCCGAGACTTTAGCAGGAATTTTGGGGGAGCTGTAATACGTCCACCCTTATTTGGAACTGATGATACTGCATGCTTATTGGTTCCTCAGTGGAATTGAGATATTCTCGTCGAAAGATGAAGTCTACTCGTTTGCATCATTTCTGTCCTGTTACAAAATTTCAGCATCTTTTTCTTCCCAAGTACTTTTTTTGTCTTCTTAAAGTTACGTACTTACGTTTAGTCCTTCCCGTGAAAAAGTTTAAATTTTATTTTTTAAGTAAAAAAGGTCAAACATACTGCAGATAAATTCTCTGTGACAAATTTAGCAATTTTGATAGGCACGATCTTGAACTGAATTTGAGGAGGAACTGTTCAGCACATATTTTGAAATTTGTTAAAACATTCAACAAAAATTTAAAACTGTTTTGCTAAAAAACTGGTAAAAAGTTGAGAAAAGTTGGTAAATTTCCAAGAAAAAAAATGATAAACCTGCTTTACAGTTTACTGTGCCTTGTAAATTTTTCAGTAAAATAGTTGTATTTTGAAGTGAAATTTTTGTTTAAAAAATCTGCACAGAAAGTTGCACAAGAGATTAGGAAAAGATGTCAGATGGTCAGGTATTTTTCCAGTTTTGAAGGATCACTGTTTGTAACATTCAAGGTTTCACTACCCTGGCGCAGATACTGAAAGAAAGGAAATGTGTTGCATGCTGTTTACATGCTCATCAATAATAATGTGATGTATAAAACATTGTTGAGTGCCACTTCTAGCCGACACCCGGCTCTAGTGTGCTCCAAAACAAGTGGGCCACAGTGGTCATGTTTTCGCTGCGATAAAAATGCAAGCCATCATGTAGCTATTTTAAGGAGAGAGTATAGTTTTCCCTGCACTGTGTTTTTTTTTCCCTTCTTTTTTCTTCTGTGGTTCGGGGAACCTGAATTCGAACTTCTTCATGAATGATTAAAATTGGAAAACAAGACACTTGGATAGCTGTCAGGTGGGATAAAGTGTCCGGTTTGCGGTTAGCTGTGGCGGCTGTGGCTACCGGTGCGTGTGTGTGCATTGCATGCCAAACTTTGAATCATACGCAGCGAA